TCTCTCTCTGTTCTTATTTAGCGAGCAACGCCTCTCATACACCCTGGGAAACAGTAGCCCAGTCAACTCAGTGTGCCCAGCTGCCCCGAGATCAGCGGACGAGACCAGCTCTGTTTTGTTTGTTTGTTTGTTTGTTGTGGAGCATTAAAGACGTTTTTCTTGTCTAGCCTGGGTTCGAATCTGCATTGTTACTGGGTCCAAAACAACTCAACACACGGCTCGCTGTAACAATATTAGGCTGTTTTTCCAAAACCTACTGTCCTTATCTAAACAAAGGAAGTGACCCGTGTGACATATAGTTGAGAAAGGCTCAGGCCCTGTGGTTGGTTAGTGTGGTTTTAAATGTAGACAGGATTTGGAATGTGGTTTTCTTACTTCAGGAACAGAACCTGAAAGTCACATCATCTCTCTGACGCCACATCCACATCACAGCTGAAGTTCCCCTCCAAGTAACTCAGACCTGATGTTTCCACAGAAGTGTGAACAAACCAAATGAGATGACTTCAGATCAGATCTGGGCCACTTGTGTACGTGGTTTTCCTCGAAAAAGATCACAAAGTAAAAAAGGGATGTTTTTGCAGTGAAAACCTCTCATGTCCAAACTCAGTCCATCATAGCTCTGGGCACAACACGTTTTCCTCGTTCACAGCTCACACAACGAAGTACCACACCTCACCACCTCTGTGTCAAAAACTACAGAAGGTAACGCTACAATCAGCTTAATTAATATCCCAACACCCCCCATGACAAACACACACACACGAAAGCTGATTTTTAAAACAAAAAGGGGAAAAATTTAAAATTAACTGAATGACAGCTAACACACACACAGCAGCAGCAGACGGTGCTGGTCGACTGTTGTGGTCCGGCTTTCACAGACAAGGTAGAAAAACAAACACACATTGATTTAAAAAAAAAAAAAAATCCCATGAGTCTTTGGGCTCTGTTGATACACTCTTTTTACCACATAGGGTTGTTCGTACCAGCTGAGGGGGATATGATGTCAGCGATGACATCACTTGATCATAGCTCGCTAGATAATGTTATCGCGTTTGCCCCCATCTTCCTGTCTGTGTCCAGTTGAGTGTTGGAGACTAGAGGAAGAAACTAGCGTTCTTTCTTCCCATGCACATTTTTTGGGGGGGTTTCAAGCCTGGGGTCAAAGTTCACGGGGTGGAGGAGCAATTGGTTACAAAGAACAAAAAGAAAAAAGAGAGAAAGACTGATTTTGGAAACTAGCAGCCACCATCACTGTCCTCCTATTCCCCAGAACAAAGAAAAAGAGGAAAGAAGAGGAAGGGATGGCTGATGGAAAAAGAGGGAACGACAGACCAAATAACAAGTGCAAGGCTTGCTAGCGGTTGTTCTTGGCAGCTTCCTTGGCAGCCACAATGAGAGGAGTCAGGCTGGAGAGAGGCTTCGCCATCTTCAGAAACTGATGCTGAGGGGAGGAGAAGAAAAAGACAGGGACGAGGAGGGGAGGGAAGAGCAAGAGAAGAAGGGGAATGGCAAGGAGGAAGGAGAGAGACAGGGAAGGGAAGAAAGAGTGGGAGAGCGAACAAGGGAGGGAAGGGGACAGAGAGAAATACATCAGTTCACTGTGTAGAAAGACAGAAAACAGACACCTGGTGTCACCTGGTGATTGACCTTTCACTGTGACTCCACGTAGGCTAATAGAGCTAGTTATCATTCATGTTAGTTCATGAATTAACATAAACTTTTTGTGCACACTGTAACAATTCGTTTCCACAAAGAAGATGCTGTACACACTGTGCTGCTCGCAATGAACAACTTATAACAGGTAACCTCTGAGTACAAACAACAATTAGCTCAGCTCTACATGATTACAAAGGTAATCGTTTGGCTCTCTATTATGAATCTACAGTATGGAGACAAAAATACTATTGATGCACACACACACACACACACAGCAACTAATACCCACAGTAGTTCTTTAGCTGACCCCCTCTTCTCCACATCCATCTCCAGACATCGGTTCAGGAAGTCTCTGAATATCGTTGACAGCTTCTCCGGGTTCTGCAACTCCGGCGTCCCATTGGTCGCGATGAGATACAGCGCCTAGACGATAGGCACAAGCAACAGGCTAGTCTACACCTTATGTAACATGTACAGTATATATGCTTAAAGCAACTGTACATATGTTGTAAAAATCTTTTCTGTGGTGCCACCCAGTGGTGGTTTTCGGAAGTGCTTTTCTGCATAATGAGCACTCTCAGTACTTTTGATGTTAATATTGTTGTATTTAGTAACGTTTTGAATGCAGAACTTTTACTTGTAACAGTATTTCTACACTGTGGTATTTCTACTTTTACTTCAGTAAAAAATCTGAGGACCTCTATCACCACTGCCTAATTTATACAGGACACATTTAGTACTTAAATAGATCTGTGTTTGTCTTTGCTGTCCAACTGTTTCTATAACACTGAGACAAATTCCCACAGGTCACAGGTGTTAGTGTTACTTATCCTCAGTAAACAGTCTCACCCTGAGTGGATTTTCATTCAGGTACGGCGGCTCCCCCTCTACCATCTCTATAGCCATGATGCCCAGGGACCAGATGTCCACTTTGGGACCATAGGCTTTACGGGTCACGACCTCAGGAGCCATCCAGTATGGAGTCCCGACCATAGTGCTGCGTTTGCTCTGCTCTGGAGTGATCTGGGCGCAGAAGCCAAAGTCAGCTTGGAGGAGGAGAGAGAGACCAAAATTAGTCCATGTATTCACAGCGTTCGAAACCCTCTTCAGATGAACACTTGTATTAAAATAAATAAATAAGGACAGCTGCCCTTTATTTACCATCAGTCTGTGAACTTCTCTAAGCTAATAGAGTTTTGCTTGGAGGTCATGCACTCTGCCAGCACATTAATGAGCCGAGTTTAAAATTCAAATTAAAAATAAAAACTTCTAGGTGAATGCATGAAATCTCCACACAGTGGGTAATGTAAATCTGTGATGAGTAAATACTGGCCTGGGGACCAAACCTGGCCAAACTAAAGATTCTGCTTTTATTTTTTGCATCAAAGCGTTATATGAAGTTTCAAATGAATTTTAATATAAGCTGTTGCAAAAAATTTTAAAACACGTTTTGTCCATTGAACAAAAAGGCCTGAATGTCTCACAGCTCCTGTGCAACAACGGCCGCTGTACTGAACAACAATGAAGAAACACTGGCACATGGCTGAACCTCACTGACGGCCCTAAACATCTCCTCTATGATCACTCAGCAAATGGACAGACTGAACTTCAATACTGGTCACAGTAGAATCACAGCGCCCCCTGTTGGCCTGAATAAGCAGCTACAACAACAGTCCTCAGTGTCCTGCAGTTCTGAATACTTAGAATGAATAAATGATGTGTGGACTGACTGAGTTTGACAGAGCCGTCCATGCCCAGCAGGATGTTGTCGCTCTTGATGTCCCGATGGATGACCTGGTTTGAATGGAGGAACTCCAATGCCTGCAGACACTGAAAAGGGAGACAGAAGATATGGATAATAAATCTCCTTTACTGGCAGGGTTTCCTCACCTCACAAAGGCGGGCATGCTCTTGAGCACAGCATGAGGAAATGAAAACTTTGGGAGAACCTCCAGTGTTTTGTTTTTATTCATTTCCACCTGAAATGGTGTCTTACCTCTCTGCATACAGCAGCTATTTGGGCTTCATCCATGCAGGTTTCTGTGACGACGTCAGTCAAAGAACCTCCGGCCAGGTACTCCATCACCACCCACAGCTCATCACCCACCAAGTAACTATGGCAAACACCGGTACATGCAGGAATATATTTTAACAGTATGCTCTGTATTCTACTGAATCAACATTTTGCTAGACTGTAGAAATAGAACATTATCTTAAGAACCATAGTGGACTCAAAAAAATATTCAATTTAACAGAGGAGTTTGAAAATTGTGGCATTTGTTATGTGTCAAAATCTTGACAGAGTTTTGTAAATTTTGTAGCATAAATATTCTCTGATATAGTTTAATTGGTTTGATTGGTAGAGGTGACATTACCAACTGTTTTTACAAATCGATTAGCTAGTGACATTTCAGGAAATGGTGTAAAAGGCCCATCATTTTCCCTCATGTCTTCAGATCAAAACCCAAAGATTTTCAATTTAACAAGACAAAACAAAACTATTTTGTATTCTTGAGTATTCTTGTTTTTTATATTGTGTATTCTTGGGGGATCTTATATTTAGACTAGGTGTTCGTTCTTTTGGCTTTAAACTCTTTACTTGACTCCAGGAGAGCCCTGCACAAGAATTCCTCTATGCCTAGACTATGTGTTTATGCATAAACGGCAAATAAAAATCTTGATTCTTGAAAAAAATAAAAGCTGTTGTTGATCAGTTGTCTGTTGATTGACTAACTGATCAATCGACTAATTGTTAGCACCACTGGATGGCAGTAAACTGTCTAGAAAACCAGAAAAGCTATAAAACACACTCTGCGTGTGTTTTTTATTTTTGTGTGTGTGTGTGTCAGTGTTCCATGGAGCGTCTGACATTTAATTCGCTCTTGGTTTCGATGAGCGCGGCCACTGTCTTGTCTGCATTGGATCGTGGTGATTTCATTTACAGCGATGCTCCTCCAGCACCACTTCAATCATTAGCTGTTGTGTATCAATCACAGCGCTCGGAGGTTCAGGACACTGTGGACTGTGACCCGTACCAGAACATAGGCTGGCCCTCAGTGTCGGTCAGCGGGGACCCGAACATTTACTTACGAAGCCCTTGTAGGAAAACATCCCGTATGTTACATGCCTTCTGCAGCAGCATCTAAAACTAGATCAGCTGATTTCATTGGCTGGTTTTAAAGTTTAACTGAGTCCTTCACTGCCTACAGTTGAACATTCTGTGGACACTGAGTGAAGTGTAACTTCAATCCTAACTCTTATGCTTTACCATTTTATCCTTATCTCTTATTTGTGAGTTTAAGGTGGACTTGGCTTCATTTTTGTTGGGTTTACATGTGTTTATTATCAGCACAGTGCTTGTTTTTAGCCTTTTTATCATTTCCCGCTATTTAAGTTTGTTTTACTGTCCTGTGCACAGAGGGCATCCATGCACAGGAGAGTCAACCTGCTCTCACTGGACCCCGCTATATAAATTTGAAAAGTTGAATGAATGAATGAACTTAACTCTGAAGTGATGAACTGAATATGAAATAAATTAAAAATCATTGATGAGGCATGTGAATTCAACAGCATTACAAAAAACAATGACATTCCTTCGCCAAGCCTGTAAAACACACACACACACACACACACACACACACACACACACACACACACTAAATCAGAGACGGTGAAAATGTTTCCATGGGAATGACAGTGTTATCGCCAGTCTTGCATGTGGCCTCAATTTCTCTCAAGACAAACAGGCAACCAGACCAATCCTGAACTGATCTTGGTTCAGTTCTGCATACTTCATAGCTCAGTGGTGGTTCCTCAGCAGCGCCCAGTGCTTCCACTGCTCCTCAAACACCCAGAATATCACAGAGGTGTTTTACAGGTTTCCAGAGAAAATTAAAACTTTACATTTGTCTCATTTTGCACCAAACTGTGTTTTTCTCCTTGTTTCGCAAGTTGCGTTCAGCATTTTCTCACAACACCAACATTAAGAGGAGGATCTCAGCTGAGTGTGAACCTGCCAAAACTAAATATAATCCTCCAACTTTTAAAGCTGCAGCCTCTAGAAACGATGGTCTGCACCAGCATTCGGTACTGGTACAGGACCTCAGCAGCGGCACACTGAAGCAGTATTATAGTTGTACATTTTTAAAAGAAATCTATCAAATGGTGGCAACCTAAGAGCAATAACACAACATCAATCAACAAAAAAGACAGAACTGGCAGAGTGTGGAAGTCAAACCACTTCTCTCCCTGTCATGATTCATCTGCTGACAAACAGTGAATGATTATAAAGGCGACGCTGTTGAGTGATGGGGTCTTTACCTGTCCAGGTAGTTGACTATGTTGGGGTTCTTGTTTTCCCTCATCACCAGAATCTCATTGATGATCAGCTCTTTCTTCGGCTGCTGCTGCAGGTTCATCTGTTTGATGGCAACCTGAGAGAAAAGACATATTTGACTAGTGCAAATAAATCATGCGGACCTGGAAATAAACTGAGAACAGAGAGGCTGGGGATGGTGGGGAGGTGGACATTCAAAAACAGACAGAAGAACGGGTTTATTAAAAGCATAGATAATGTGACAGAGAACGAAAGAAGGCAAGCGCATGAAAAGAATATTGGTAAGAAACTGAAGCCAGAGGACAAGCAGCCAGACAGACAAGGTGATTAGGAAGGGAAACGTCTAAATCCGAGGGCAGTGAGACTAATTCTCACAGAGGGAAACTGAGAGGAATTAATCTGCCAGATGAGCTGAGCTCCTTTAAAATGAACCTGGAGTCACAGTGACTGAATCCAGACTTAAGGCCAGTTACTGACACAATATTCTCATTGTGCAAAGTCCAGCTAGTGAATTAAAGGCTTAAAAACATTTTACTATAATAATTTAGCATTCAACATTTAAACTGCCTGAGCACTTTCATCCACGTGGTGAACTTTATTTAACCTCTAGACTGTTCTCAGCATGTATCCGGTCATTATTTGGTACAGTACCTGACAATCAGTCTCTGTCTCTCTTCATCTGCCATACCTTGTATAGAGAGTAGTTCCCTAACTGGTTTATTAATTTGTGTAATACTGCAGCATATTAGTGTCTCTCTCAGAGAAAAATCAGTGTCTTTCTCTTCCCGGCCCATTATAAATAGACACAGTGCTTTATAGAGTTTTCAGTACTGCTGTATTTGTGGTTGTGTTATACCCTGTACCTTTTAAAAACCAAACCAGAGAGTAAGTGTACATCTGTACAAATTAAGAACTTGGCCTGACTTATTCCTTGACCTCAGGTGGGAGCTGTTACTGTATCTGGTCAATCTCCAAATCTTACTTTTGAGTAAAACACAATAAAAACACTAAAGCCGTCCTGTGTTGGTGAATTTAATGCGTATCCTTCTGTGAGATTTTAGCCATTTTAGCTCTATGGTTGTCAGACTGTCTGTTTTTTTATTTTTATTCAGGCCTAAATGAAGTTAGTACTGTACAGACTCACAGAGCTGCTGGCATGTTTGTAGACTCCTCTTGTCGTGTTATAACCAGCATGTCTTTTTAGCAATGTTAGTATTGCCATTACCTGTCCAGGGTGGACCACGCCTCTTGCCCATTGTCAGCTGGGATTAACCACGCCTCGTGCCCATTGTCAGCTGGGATTGGCTCCGCCCCCCCATGGCCCTCTTCAGGATAAGCAGTATAGATAATGGATGGATGGATGGATAGTATTGCCTTTTTAAATAAGGGGTGTGGCTAGCTGTTAGCTGAAGGAGGATAAAGCATAGAGGAATGTAGAAAGGAGACACAGATATCGAGTGTGACAAAGGAGACTACCTCCTGTCCTGTAGCGATGTCTATGGCTGTGTACACCGTCCCAGACGCCCTGAAAACACACAGCAGGTGAACATTACACTCCATGTGATCAGTTCTTTGTTGGGTGAAAACTTCTTCTATTCCTTAAAAGTCCTCAAGGCATGAAAATCTGCAGGTTTCAAGTGACATTCAGTAGCGTTCGACTAATTACAGGTTGTCTGTTAGAGCTTTAGATTTACTGGGAGATTTTTAATGTTGCTTTCCCCCCGTTGTGTCTGACATAAACATCTCTAACACCTCTTCACACTGATTTAAACTTGTCTTGATAATTAACAGTTTGAGTCATTTTCTAAGCAAAAAATAAATTCTGATAGGGCTGAGACTTTGCTCCTTTTATTTGTTTTACATCACTGTGAACTGGGACTAGTTTACATATGCCAAAGAATACACCTTGAACTCTGAGACTCTATGATGTGCTACATACAAAACAATTAATAATCAATAATCAAGTGATAAACTCATAATTAAAATGATCCTTAGCTTCCTAAATGGAACTAATCTTTATAAATAACAATTCGCCAAAGTCAACATCTTACTTTATACTCTTATGAACTTTATACTCTTTCTACATCTTTATCCATTAGACAATTTAAAATAACGAACTACATGCAGCTGTGACGGATGGAACCGTGAAACACATTCAGATAATCTCAGAGTGTTTTCATTAAACTGCTTACACACAGATGATTTGATGCACTTGTTTCAACTAATGCACTAATGTGGACCTTGTACTACTGTAACTTGCATACCAAGCATTGACAGCCTGAAGAAACGTGTTTTGAACTTGACTTTTCAGTCAGAGACTGAACACAGTCACATTATATTACAGATAGTTCTTACAGACTGTCTGTGACGGTGAAAGTCTTGTATGACATTAATGTCTCAGACTGTCTGTGACAGTGAAAGTCTTGTATGACATTAATGTCTGCTGCTTATAGTTCCTAACACTTACATGTAATAAACTAAACTACACAATGAGTGAGTGAACCAGTCACAGCTCAACATATCATCTTCATGACTTACCCCTGTCCGATCTTCTCAAAGCGGGTGTATTTCTTCTTGGGGTCTCCAACACTTACAATTGTCCCTGAGTTCAAAGACAGAGAAAGAAAAAAGCTAAAACTCAGTTACTGATTCAAACAGATCTGCAAGAGCAGGACAAAGAAAACCGGGCCCTAGATATAATCCACAGCTGATATTTATATGTTAATTTTACAGTGAATTTGAATGGATAGAGGAGTCTGGAGTCTTTCTATCCATCATAATTCTGCTCTAGTCTTCACCACACTCAGGTCAATGCAGCATGCTGGCTGGGAGACAGAGCAGAGACAAAATGAGGGATGAGGTGAAAACTAAACAGGTCTGGAAAAAGAAAGGAGATTTAAAGAAAGGCAGGAAAATGTTTAACAGTGAACGAAGGAGAAGGAGGAAAGAAAGATGGAAGGAAGGAAGGAAGGAAGGAAGAAAAATCAAGGAACAAAGAAATGAAGGTAGAAAGGAAAAAAGTTATAAAAGATAAAAGAATGAATCAAGAAAGAAAGAAAGGAGCAGCTCTGTCTGCAGCTCAGTAACCCACAACAGGAAACTGCTTAGACGACAAAAGCTGGAGCAGGAGTCACGCTGGACGATGGAAAGAGAAGACGACCAATCAGATGTGAGGATTGGACATGGGGGGCAGGGACAGTGGATATCAGGTCTGTCAGTCAAAAACAGACAGACAGTATCCTGGTCTTACCAGCTGCAGGAGACCTGAGCACATCTGGACAGGCATGGGGACAGGCATAGTTTAAAAAATATACAGGCTTTTTTTTATTCACGGGTTACAAACACAGAACATCACATTTCAACATGGGGAAGAAGCTTCTTTAAACATATGTTTTCATTCTGAAACTACACAGACTTAAAAAAGAGAGAGCACTTCTCTTTAAGCAGATGCAATAGTGGCTGGAACATTAGTACTGTATCAATATTGCTGGGGAAAAAACACTCGTCTGTATAATTTGCTTGCGTTACTGCAGATACATCTGCTACAAACAACATTAACATAAAACGTAAATCCCTTTATCTGACATTGTGTCGCTGTAATGCCACTGAAAACCACGAGCTATATGGGCTCTACAGTTCTTATACATTAGTCCTGGAGCCGGTTATTACTGCTGCGCTACTACTGGACTGCTACAGCTGTTTCACAGACAGAGCAGGAGGAGCAAAGAGGAGTGGAGGGAGGGAGGAGAAAAATTAGAGGGAGAAGTCAGTTAATGCAGCTTTAACTTTGTCAGGTCTGAACGCTGTGAGACGGCAGGAAACATCTTTTCTAAGTAAGAACTCGTAACATCTTTCACTGTGCCTCACAAACACTGGACCTGTGTGTACTACATAAAAAAAGGCACAATATTATTTGGGGTAAAAATACTTGAAGCACACCGATTGTATATTTAGTACTGTCCCACTTGTAAAAAACAATGTTTTCTTAGTTCTACTTTTTAACAACTTCATAAAATACCGTTTCAAAAACAGAAAATATCTGCTGAATTCAGCACCAGCCTGACTTGAGCCTAAAATAAATTCTCTCTGAGGGAAACTGTTTCTGCAAATAAAGACAACGAGATGAATCAGCCTGTCAAACACAAGAGTGTAGAGGAGGTTTAAATTAGCACACGGAGACTGTCCTCACTGAACTGAGTGAATTGAGTTTCACAGAATACAGACACGGGATAATGATTACGATCTACAGACAAAATAGTTATTAATCACAGGACAAATAGTGATATTGTATGTAAAGCTGTGCAGGAGCTTCACTTTGCTAAAAGTTACACAGTTTGAGTCTTGTAAGATTAAAAACACTTTTATCATGAAGTCCTGAAGCCAATTTATACTTTCTGCATACCTTTAAGTAGACACAAACACGGATGAAGAATGTGCACCCGTTTCTATTCATATTACAATTTCTGTCAGCGTACACTCACATACTGGTGCGTGTACTGTCGGGGGGTTTTAGTAATTTTTGGCCTTCAGGAGGACATCCGCACACCGGTCCATAGCGGACACACGAACATGGATAGTATGAGTTAGCCTTAGGTGGTCAGATCTCATCAGTTTTAATCTTTCCATGTCCTAAATAAAGCTTTTAAATTCATCAGCAGAGCATGATGGACTTTAAATCACTTCAGTCTTACAGAGGACAGTTTCACCTCTAACCAGGTGGGGCCACTGCTTCATCAGCTTGAACTATAAGGAAACTAGCACCTGGTGTAAAATTGTCAAAAGTCAGACAGCCACGGGGCTGAGGTGCAGATGATGCATGAAAATCCATCAGAATTGTCTAAATGCTACCAAATCACTGAAGTGAAACCCAGTATGTTCTACCATATTCTGTATTGTGGCCGAGAGTCTTCAAGTCCATTCCCTGCACCATTACACGCACAATATGGCCAGAAGTATGTGAACAACCAAACACTACAACCACACGACTGTGGAACATTTCTCACTCTTCTTGTTTCAGGTTTTCCACCAGATGTTGAACAAAAGATGTGTTAATGAGGTCCAGCACTGCCTCTGGCTCACAGTTGGTGTTTCAGTTCATCCCAGAGGTGTCGGGTGCAGTGCGGCCTAGTCAGGTTTGTCAACGCCAAACTGGGAAAACCATTATTTATGGATGTACAGGGGCACTGTCATGTTCAAACAGGAAGAGGACAAACATGATCTGTCACCACAAACCTGGAAGAACACTGTAGTTTAAAATATCACTGAATGCTGTAGCACTACGTTTCCCTTCAGTGCAACTCACAGGACGAACAATGTAGAACAGTTAAAAATTCACAGTGAACCGTGATACATGGTGTCCACATACATTTGGCCATATACTAGAGCGTAGATGTTCCTTTGTAGAGCCAGAGCATGTACGTCATTGAAACTCTTAAGTGTTATGTTCTTAAATGGGAAGTTATTTCTAACAATCTGTATAATATCGATATGTTAAATGTATAATCTGTAGTGTTTTAAAGGTACGAGTTAAGATTACATGTTCTCTTTTCATGTACGTGTGTGCGTTTGAGTGTACGAAGGAGCCTTACGTAGTTTCTCCAGGATCTCCTCGTCTGACATCTTCTTCTTTCTGGCTTTGTCCTGGGGGCGGGGCAGAGAAGGCCCAGGGGCGGGGCTTGCACTGGGAGGGCTGCTTGGAGCTCCTTCTGCAGCAGGGGCGGGCGTGACAGCAGCGGCAGCAGCGGTCGGCACAGAGATGGGGGAGGTCGCGGCATCCTTGGTGGGAGGAGGAGGGAGGGGCTCGATCACAGAGCGAGTGTATATCTGAAAGAATAAGAGAAGTTCAACAGAGTGAAATTAAAACGGGGTTAAATGAGACTTTTCTAATGTCTGTGATAAAAACATGGTAAATGGTCTTATACTTGTATAAGTAGTAAATGGTCTTATACTTGTATAAGTAGTAAATGGTCTTATACTTGTATAAGTAGTAAATGGTCTTATACTTGTATAAGTAGTAAATGGTCTTATACTTGTATAAGTAGTAAATGGTCTTATACTTGTATAAGTAGTAAATGGTCTTATACTTGTATAAGTAGTAAATGGTCTTATACTTGTATAAGTAGTAAATGGTCTTATACTTGTATAAGTAGTAAATGGTCTTATACTTGTATAAGTAGTAAATGGTCTTATACTTGTATAAGTAGTAAATGGTCTTATACTTGTATAGCGCCTTTCTACGCTTCTTACAACACACTCAAAGCGCTTTCACACATTATTCGGCCATTCACCCATTCACACTCCCAAATTCACACACCAGTGACATCACCGGGAGCAACTGGGGGTTGTTGTCTTGCTCAAGGACACCTCGACATGTTGACTGGACAAGCCGGGAATCGAACCGCTAATCCTCCAGTTAGGAAACGACTCGCTCTACCTCCTGAGCCACAGCCGCCCAACAGCCATGCACACAACCTTCATCATACAGAATAAATGTTGTGGGTCTATATATACAGTACATGTTGGTGACAGTTAACTTTCTATTCAGAAGCAACAGTCACCAACATGTTCTGGTTCCACCTGCTTTAATGTGAGGAACTGATGCTTTTCTTTGTCAGACATGAGAATCAGCTGAGTCTCTGTGGGTCTGTTGGTTGGACACAATGAGACGTGTGGAGACGCCACCTTTGACTCTGGGAATTTTCCCCAATGTTTGACATTCTGGGAATAAAAAGATCAATCAGATCATTAAAGTTAAGTGTCTGAGTCAGGATGCATTGAAATTTTGCTTCCAGACTGAATTAAAGTATCTGTCAGATCTGGACCCACCTATCGAGCATGTGGGGGCCAGGGAATGCATTATATTAATCAGAGTCCTCACAAGTATAGAAAGACAAAAGTGCATCCTCACTGATTTGGTGTGTTCTGGTCGGGGGGCAATCACCGGCGGCGGCTCAGCCTCATCTTCGTCCTCATCCTCGGATACGGTTGCTATGGCGGGCGTGTCCATCACAGTCTTGGCGCTCTGTGTGATGTCACAAGGGAAGAGAGGGCGGAGTCTAAATGACATCATCGTCACATGAGCCAAGAGCGATACCAAACCCATCGTATGGCCACTGTCACTTCTTCCTCTACTGCTTCAGCATCTCATCATGCAGAGAAGTTCTTGTCCTTAGTTCTCCTTTCTAGTTTCTCCTTTTTTAAACCTCTTCCCTCTCTGTCTTTCCACCCTTTTCACTCGCCCTCTTCTCATCATCACTGTTGATATCTAAAAGCTCTGGTCATGTCTGGCTCCTGATGCCACTCGTCACACATCCTCCTCTCCATCGCTCTCTTCCTCTATCTCTCTCTGATAGCCTGATGCTCGGCTGGTGGCCAGGCTGCAGAGACAGGGAAATGGTGAAAGGAGGAAAACATGCTGATTCACGATGCGGAGAGAGAGAGTGAGCGAGGGAGAAAGAGGAGTGCCATCATCATCGCTTCCTCCTCCCTCCTATGTATTCTCACCTTCCTGGTTTGGTTTAAATGCACCTTTAAGATAACAGTTGCAGTGCAGCACCAATAAGAGCCACTGAGATCAGAGCTGTGTGTGTATTAATGGAGACCTGGATACAACATTGATAGATGGTGCCCATTCATTCCTATGAAAGCTGAAAAAAATCATCATTCTTCTGGATTTTAGCCATAAAAAATACCCAGATGTTCCACATGTTTCCATGTGCCGAGCCGACTCCCACCAGACGAGCCAGGTGACTTCCAGTTGGCTCCATGCACACATGAATGGGATAAAATAAAAAATATCCTATGGCTGAACTAGACTTTTCAAATGATACTGGACACAGCGAACCATTTTGTGGGGTTTGTGACACTAGGAAAAATGTATTTACCATTTTACACACTTTTAAACTAGAATATAGTGTGTAAGTACACATTAGGACTCAGGGAGAAGTTTCCCCCCTTTTCTAACTAAACACTGCTTTGCAAACAGATTACATTTTTTAGATATCTAAATTAAACCTGTTGTTCTGAAGCTGTTTGGGTTTATGGCCAACTTAAAAACATTGTTAAAATGTAATAAAGTAGAATGTAAAATGTAAACAAAAACTAGTTTAAGTGATAAAAAGAAGAATGCAAATCAACAAGCCCGGTATCAAATCTTGCTAATTGTCGGTGCTTTCCTTTATGGGATTTGCATTCACACATACCGTGTACAATACTTAAGTTCTTCAAATACTCTCCCATTTAATTTACCTGAGATGTCATGATTAAGTACCTATTCAAGTAGCAACAGAAGAACGCCAACAAGCAGCAAGAAGGACAGTGTTATTCATTCTCTTGATTTAAGCACTATTGTTCCCGCTTGGGCAGTAAATGTGCAAACCAAAAATAATTTGGGTAACTGTTACCGGTATTATCAGCTGGTTCTACTGACAGCTGATCACTCTCACTGTGGATGACAGTTACAGTGATGGTAAACAAACATTGAAGAACATAAGTTATGAAATGAAACCGTCCTCACATCTCGGTCTGGGTGTGGCTGTGTGAGCGGCACAGTAGTCTTACCGTTGTGGTGGAGGAGCTGTAGGCATCTGTGCTTTTATCTGCAGGGAAAAACACAAAATGAGAAATTACTATAAGAAAAAACAATAAGAAGAAAGAGCAAGTTATGTGTATATGTGTCAGTGTGTACCTGTGAAGCTCATGTATTTCTGGCTGTTGGATGTTTCTTTTGAGTCGTAGAACTTCAGAACATCAAGGACGGCCTGAGGATTCTTCTTCTGCTCCAGCTTGGTGATGTTGGATGTCTGCAGGAGCCGGGCCCACTGCTCCGGCATGCCCTACACACACACACACACACACACACACACACAGAGAGTTTTACTTCATTATTTATTATGTGCACTGTGTTTTCTTTACTTATAGCATCTGGACATTTGTCCTTGACACAGCTCACGTCACCTCCAAAAAAACAATACATTTTAGATTCAACAAGACAGTGTAGTCAAGAAAACTAAGGTAGCCTTGGTGCATAACCTGGATTTATTGCTACAGAACAAACAGCACGAGGGCGCACCAGCAGCCAAACAGTTATGGTGTGTTGCACCATATATGTAAGCACAGTGTGTGTGTGACGTCCGTGGATCGAATCCAGCTACTGACCTATGTCACAGGTCCTCCTCTACCCTGCCTTTCCTGTCCGCTTCTCCAAGACCCACTTAACCCCATAAAAATAAAAATAAAGGCCACAGAACAGAACCCAAAAGAGGTGCCGTGGGACGAGCTCAGAGAGCCGTGCACACCAGACATCCTGACTGAATGGAAGCAGCTCTGTGAGACCGAATGGTCCACACTCCTCCTGAACATTGTGCGGCTCTGATCCACAGCTACTTGTCTGAGGTTACTGCTGCCAACTGAGGTTCGACCAGCTATTAAATCTCAGGGTTCGCTTACTTTTTCCACCAGCACTGTAAATGTTTAATGGGAGTGTTGTTGTTTGTGTGTTATTAGATTGAGTACACTGTTGGTTTATACTTGTTACACAGATAAAGATCAGATCGCATTTGAAACCTGGCATTTCCAAAAAGTTCACTTACTTTTTCTTGCCAATGAACAGATGCACGCACACTCACACACTCCCTAACAAGGGACTCTCATCATATTTGTACTTCAGTCACATAACTGGGTCACATCTCTTTGTTTTCCAACTCTCTCTGTCGGGGTCAGTCCATCACACACAGTTAGGCTGTTCTGACTTGAGTAAAAGGTTTGTGTATAGGAAAAGAAAGGAGAAGCACAATGAGCTCTCTCTCTCACACACACACTCACACACACAGTTAAATTCCAAACAAAACGAGCTTGAGCAGGTGGATAAATGAGTCAGCTAAACAAGGCATCTTTGCCTAATGTGATTATTTGAAGAGATTCATTTGCTGAGTGTGTTTGTATCAAACACAGAGACACACACACACACATTTACACAAAAGCCTCACAGACAACAGTGAACATGGGTCCTTTGGCAAGCAATTAATAATTTATGCAAACCAGATGCACAAATACACACCGCAGATGCACACTGCGGTTGCTTTCAGTACATTTAAGAGTGTTACTATACTCTGGGAACGAACACACAACATCACACTCACTTACTGTAAACTCCCCGGTAACTGCATCAAAGCCGACGTGGATGGTGTGTTCAAAATCAGACGGCAGAGAAATCTCTGGACGCTCCTTCTTCTTATAGGCTGAAGGCAAAAACAGACATTGATTTTAGGTGATTTCAGGTCAATTTCCCTTCCCCTCAAAGGCTGCAGAGGAGGAGCCGAAGTGAAGGTTGGACCAATTCAATAATTAAACCCACTGGAACATAAAATCCTGCACGCAATATCTTTAAAAACTGCCTTTGAAGAAAGGTACAAAGATTCAAGATCATTAAAATTCATTGAAAGGTCTTCAATTCAGTGATAAAGAGTAAAAAGGAAGAGAGGAAGAAATACACCAGACGCAGAGAAAGCTCTGAGAAAACACATGAGAACATAAGAAAACTACAGAAAGAGCGAAGAGAAAGCAAAAGACAGAATCAGAGAAAGATGACAAAGGAGACGCCATATGTCGGAAACTGTGAAGTGATCCCCTGGAACCACAGACAGCAGAGTCCCCTGGGACGTCTGACAAAGCTGCGGGACCAGAGCATCATGGGTAATCTGTCGCTATGCATGGATGTGTACAGTGAAGTAGTCAGTTAACAAAACTAGTGTGTGCTTGTTCCTCCAAAAACATCCTGTTGCTCACTTCTATGGAAGAAGTATGTGGAATACAGATGCTGCAACAGGAGGTCGGGGGGTGTCAGAAGAAAGATCCAGTGGTTTTATGTAACAGACTGATATCATCACCCATAACAACACCCAGATGTTTCAGATGAAACAGTATAGAAGGTAACAGGATACAACTTAATTGTCCCCCAGTGTAAAATTGTTTGTAGGCCACTGAAACATTAAGGTTTTCAGTACAAGTCAAGCTGCTATATAACAATAAAACCCAACAGAAAGCACTGAAGCAGCTAGATCTGACCCACTGTGTATCTTTATTTCCCAATAATCTACAAAGTAAAACACAGCCCTGGGGCAGTGACGGTTCTGTTGCTTCATGTTTATTCAACATGCAAAAATGAATTTGCCAGTATGGGACCTGCTTGCTTTGAAATAAAATGCTGAAGACGACAAATAAAAATCACCTACAGCCCCATTTTGATGCTGCCTTCATTTCAATTAAACATTGTAAGTAAACACAGATGTTGTTCAAGTGTTTTCTAAGACAAACTGACAGTAAATAAAATACTATTTTAAAAAAAGCAATACTGCAAAGCTATATCGCAGTCACAATTTGGAGCTCCGCGATGTTTGATGAGTTGCATCTATCCCCGTTCAAACTCCGGCAGGAGCAGCTGTTGGGGTCAAAGGTCAGCCACCATTAGGGCTATAGCAAGCACCAACAATGAGCTAATGTGCTATTAATTACTACTAGTGAATCCTGCAGTGGAACAGAAGAAAGCACTCTGCTACGTGTGTGTGTTGACGACTGATATCATTAGCATGAGGTAACATGAGGTTGTAACTATAGAACAACAGCATTTAATCTGTTCTGAAATGTTTTAAAAACTGTTTGTACCAGTGTAAATCTACAGCTGCAGCTCAATCAAGTCAGTAAAATATTTTAAAGCTTATCAGTGTGCCTGATTTCATAGCCTCCTTCTCTGTATTAGAGCACACTTTACATCCATCTGGCCTCATTGTGTCAGAGGCTCAACTCCCTGCACCGTCTCCAAGGTTTCTTCAGGTTCCATGAAGTTTTAAGACTTATAGTATAAGACCTTTTTAAACCACTCAGTGCAATTTAAGATGATAATATATACAGGATTGTCTGCAGTGGTTGAGGGAGAGGAAACTGTTTCATTAAAAAAAACAAACAAAAAAAAAAAACAGTGCACTGTGTCACACGGTGTTCTCAGTACTCACTCTTATCACCTCCTCCAGTCAGGATGAATCGGATTGAGCGGTCCTTCTTCTTCTTGTCCTCTGGGTTTGGCGGCAGAGGCTTGGAGCCATGGTTTAGGGGTGTGGTGTCCTTGTTGCAAGAGCCAATCATGGTGCTGGTGTTCCTCATGGGCGGAGCTGGGGGCTTGTCCTCGACCTCCCCATTATCAGACATCTTCAGCTGCAGCGGTCGCTCCTGCACAAAACCACACCGATCACAGAGCGGGTAGAGTGAGCAGCATCAGTAAAATCTCACAATATTCAATTTCCAATGACACACAACATAATGTTTCTCTGTAGTAGTAATAATAATAATAATAATAATAGTAAGGTCTAGACCTTACATTGTAAAGTGTCCTGAGACAATTTTTGTTGTGATTTGGTGCTATGCTAATAAAATCAAACTGAATTGTCCTTTACGGACTATTTGTTAATATCCTGCACTGCACTCTGGCCTTTTCTACTTCCGTTTATTTTTAACCTTCCATATTTATTTTACTCTTCCTATTTAATGTGTCTTTTTATATTCTCTTGTGGTTCTTTATACTGTGTTGCACTATTTTATGTCATACGTAGTGCAGTGTTAAAAGGTGCCATACCATTTAACTAAACTTCTTCAGTTTATGATTGTTGTTACTCATAAGTGAAATGCCTGGTTTTCCCATGATGCTTGACAAACCTTAACGCAATCATGTAAAAAACTAACAAAAAAAAGAAACACTGACATCTGTTTCATTCAAACTCAAATGGAAGAAAAACGGTGTTATCGTTGACTTTTATTGTGAATGGAGTTTGAAGCAAATAAGAAAACAACATGAAAGCTAAATTAAGATTTTGTTCTAAAGCCTAAGTTGCAAAAAGACTGATAGCCTAACTCAAAGTTTCCATTTGCTCACTGAGGGGTCTGTCTGCGCTACAAACTGCTGCTAAAACATGGTTTGTGTGAGTGTGGTGAGTCAGACACAGATGCTGTGAGAAGGAAAAGAGCAACTTTTTGCTTGGTCAGAGCATGACACGTTGTGCAGTACAACTGGTGTGTGCACGCCCAGATGAGAGGGACATTTTAATGACCGGTTTCACCACAACACCCTCATCCAAAAATACACAGATACACAAAGACTGCCAGCTAATCTGCTCTGGTAAATGCTCCAATGGACACAGACTTCCATGAGGAGAGTCTAAGACGAAGCTAAGCAGAATAAATCGACCCACACAAAGAATACTGGGGATGCTGAGAACTTAACTGACAACACACAGCCCTGACAGTATCAGTCCTCGGCAGGTGTTTTCAGCAGCTGTATTGCCATAATTAAATACTCAACTCAGGAGAGGAAGCCACACTCTACTCTGTGTTTAAAGGTTCTATTGAATTTATTTCCAGACTCAAAACAGACACCATAAACCACTCTTTGTCTGTCCCATCAAGACCTTTTTTCATGAAGCTACAGATGCCTGGTTGGGACAAACTGTATAAAATGTCAAACTACATCAACACTGGATCCTACACTTTCCATAATGCAAGTCATTATCTTTTTCCAAACACCCCAAGCTGAGAAAACCTCTGATATCATCACAAGGGTTATTTTCTCAGACTCCTCCAGAGCTGAAGAAGACATTACACAACTGTTTCACAATCTTAGCAGCATGCAACACGACAAACAAACTGATCTTTGTGGAAAATTAGTGCCCTTGTAACAGCACAATGTGAATAAATGTATCACTAAAAGAACTTGGAGAAAGTTTGTCTCTGTAGAAGTTTAATCACCAGTCCACCAAAATAAAACTAAAACATAAGAATAACCCCTCACGGAGTTGTGATCAGCAGCTTCTCAGTTTGCAGGGTGTGATGGCAGCATGCACATGATGCCTTTTTACCCCACAGGTGACTGACAATCGCAAAACAATTAACAGGAAAATAAGAAATATATTATTTTCCGTCAAGGAGATTGAAAGTCATGGTAAAGGGTTTTGAACCTTTTCTATATATTCATTCATTCATTTTCTACCGCTTAGTCCCTGAACGGGGTCACGGAGCCAATCCCGGTCGGCAATCGGGCGAAGGCAGGGTACACCCTGGACAGGTCGCCAATCCATCGCAGGGCCAACACATAGACGAACAACCACACACACACACACACACACTCCTATGGGCAATGTAGAGACACCAATCAACCTAAGCTGCATGTCTTTGGACTGTGGGAGGAAGCCAGAGTACCCGGAGAGAACCCACGCAAGCACAGGGAGAACATGCAAACTCCACACAGAAAGGTCCCAGGTGGGGCCTGAACCCAGAACCTTCTCGCTGTGAGGCAACGGCGCTAACCACTGTGCCACCGTGCTGCCCCTTTTTTATATATAATGAACAAAAAAACAACACTTCAGCAACAGATTTATTACTGTTGTCAGAGAGTTTTGTTTCTTTTATCTACTTTATCTTGTTGTCTTATGACTAATTCACTGTCAAACTGTTCTGTTCTGCAAGGACCTTGTCTGAGCCCCTTGGCTTCCTTCCTTGCACATATCTGTTGATATCTTATGTCTTTATATTCAAACATCAGTATTTTTCTGTTATTTTAGAAGCCACTTGCAAAATAAACTAAGCCCTGAACGTTTAACCATGAGGAAACCAATGAGGAAACCAAAGTTCAGCTCACAGATTCGACGTCAAAATCAAATTCTGAAAAGTTAGTTTTTAATCATACCCAAGACTGACGACTTCCCCGGGACCTCACCTTAGCAGGAGTAAACACACGTTCACAGCTTCAAGTTGATCCACAAAGAAACAACAGCAAAACACTGTATCAAGAGAAACCTCTGGAGCTACTGAGAGGGTGTGAGGCTGTGTCGGCCTTTTGACCAGACCTACCTCCCCGAGACGGTGACGTCACGGTGTGATAGGTGAGTCACATGAGGAAGTGTGAAATACAGCAAACACACACACACACACACACACACACACACACACACACACACACACACAAACAGTCTGGAAAGGCAAAAGAAAATGAAAACCCATTCCTGAACACAGGCACACAACTGTTTAGTGTTTGTCAGGTAAAACAGACACACACTCTTGTGTCACACAAACATAAGCAAGTGGTGTGTGTTTACGGTCATCACATGCACAAACAATCACTGTTTAGAGGGAATTGACGGTGTCTTTGTTGAGCTTAAACACAGACACACACAGACATCCCCAGACTGTGGGGAGGAGCCGGCAGGCCTCATATTTCAGACCCTGCTGTCAGTTTCACCAGAGTCCTGTTATCAAACAAACCCACACGCTGTCAGCTACACAACACACACAGTCACACATTCATTGATCTTTTAAAACTGATCACCGGAGCACAGTCAGAGGGTTTTCCCAGCCAGACAGAAACCCTGTCCTAAAATGAGATCATGTTATCGGCAGGTATCAACAAAGCACTACACTGTACGTTTTAGTGCGGCGCAGTATAATTGCTATGAAGATTACGCCTACAGCTATCATGTAGCTGGGTTGATATATCAGTTAGTGTTAGCTTATTGCAGATATATCAGTATCTGTGTAGATGTCGGCTACACAGGAAATGCAAACAAGTCAATGATATTATTTAGAGATAGTGACTCCATGAGAAGCAACAACTCTACACAAATGTGACAAAAAACAGCACAAGAACCAACAGACCAGCAAAATCAGTGTTTGGTTACAGTGTGCAAAGACTCATCACACACACTATTAGAGTGAGTGCGTTTATTTAGGACTGTGACTGTATGTGTCTGTCTGAATGAAGAGAAAACATCAGTGTCAGAATTACAACACTCCAACACACACAGGATGACTGCAGCATGGCTGAAACATCCATGTCTCCAGTGGACACCAACGCTCTCACTTGGTAAGTCTTGACTCCATCTATCTGGATTCAGTGCTCAGTTCTTACCAATGTGGTCTGGCCCATGTTCTGCTTTCCTCTCTCTACTGTACCCTGCCTACTTCTCCCCTCTCCTTTGCTCCTCGTCTCCTCTCCTTCTCGTCACAGTGAATCATGTCTGCAGCTCTGAACCAGTTTCTTTTTAAATCCATTAACTGAATCTGAGCCAGAGTTTAAATTGTATTTACAGAACATTTGGGCACTGTGGTGCAGCAGAACAAGCTGTAAACACAGCATCAGACATATTATCACCTTATAACATTTTTATGGCAAATGTGTTTGGCAACAGATGCAGTTTCAATATCCAGCAGACACTGTGAAACATTATCAACTCACTGGAGATGTGTGCACTTGGTGAATCTTAATTTTAATGTTTATTTTCATTTTTTTAAAACTTTTCCTGAGAAAATCATCTGTTAGAGACTATTTTCAGCTGCAGATTAATCAACATTTGGTGCCGGAGAGAGTGTTTGGGGCAGCAGGGTGGTGTGTGTGTGGTGCTGAGTGTACCCAGTGCAACAGTGTGGATCACTGATGTGTTTAGGTTTGGGGATGCAGTGGAGCATTGTGGCCCAGAGGAATAACATGTATCAAGCTTCATTTGTAGGCAAGACACCTTCAGCGTGGGTGTCACAGCTTATAATGAAGTCTGTGCAGGAAGAAGGTAAAATATCTCCAACTTTATCCTTTAATAAAAACAGGTTTTACATAAATCAAACCAGATAAAGATGTCCAGATAAAATGTCTTGAATGGAGAAACTATCTCAGGATCTACAGCGCAAACCAACGATGCTCCTGAGGCTGAAGCTTCAGAAAGACAATATAACGGGTGTGCTTGAGACGTGTGTGAGGGTACTTGAAAATAGATGCTGTGTGAGGTTGTGTGCTTGCTTGGGGCTTAGATCATATTTAGTCCTAAGGTAACTTTCAGTGAGATCCCCAGGACTGAGTCTGAGATACTTGATAAATATGGGCCCAGAAGTCATTGACTCCACATCTGCTTGCTTCTCCCAATCTGTTGTGTTCCTTCTTTGTGCCAGGAGGCCATGGTCATGCCTCCATCTTTTCTGTCACATCTCTCATTTACTTTGTGTCTTCCTACCCACACTGGCCGTTACTGCCATGTGTGTACTCAGCATCCCCCGGTGTTGAATGGGTGTCTTGTAACAGTGGGAGCTCAGGCAGGGGCTCTGTGGACTTGCCAGGCCCAGAGACAATGGGGTGGACGCTCCGCTGAGTCTGCAAGCTCAGTTAAACATTTATCAAGGATGGAGGCAGACAGGAA